TTCTCAGTGCTGTGCTTCAACCCGCTGCGCCACCAGGGAAGGCCTTATATTATGTTTTTAATTGGTAATTTTAAATACTCATATAAAAAGAAGGTAGGTATTAAACCTTATAATGTTTCCAGGTTACAGCTTTAGGTTCAAAACCCATTAGATTGTTAGAGATGATAAGGCAGCAGTGACAATTCAAAGGATCTTCTGATGTTTACTAATACTTAGTGGGGTATTTCATAAAGTTAGAACATGGGAAGAAATGCTCTACAGTTGGCTTTTTTGGGGGAAAATCCTACAATCAAACGGTTTCTAGTCTTGTAGAAACAATGACAGAATTTTACTCCTGGTTTACCAATGTAGTAATGGGCAATTCAGTCAAATGACTATTTGTTTATTTCATCTACTAATAGATTCCCCCCTCAACTCACAGGTTGTTAGTAAGAATCAGTATAATATAATACTTGGGATGAAATTATTTAAACCAGGAAGTCAGTTGTAGAATGAAGTGCTGATTTAAGTATTTGTTAACAAACTAAAGTATTTCCAGCGACAGTATATACCTCATCTGTTCCGAACGATGAAGGGTAATACAGTGTGACCTATAGGATCTTGTCTAATCTGTCACTGTTGACATTTAAATAAGTAATCTATAGATAGACTGAATTCTATCCTCCTGTTTTTGCTTAATTGTTTCCTTTCTTTGTTTCAGTTACTGGTTGTTGGAGGTTCTTTTGGTCTTCGGGAGTTTTCACAAATCCGTTATGATGCTGTGAAGATTAAAGTAAGATCTGTACATGTGTCTATGTAGTTGTGTGCACGGGGCCTGGTGTAGGGTGTACTGGGGACAGGTGTCCTTGTCTGGGCAGACAGATTATCCTAGGCAATCTGGATTTTGTTTTGTTTTTCAAGACTGATATATGACCTTTGGGTTCTTCCTTATTCTTTAAGGTAACATTAGCAATCACCTGGATGTCAATCACGAAATGTGTAGAATACAGTAATCTTTCTTCCTGTCCCTTAGAAAATCTGTAATGCTGTTTGCTTTCTCACATGAAATATGCTCTGCTGTTGTTGTTCTTTAGGATTTAGAAGGGACCAAAGAATATGAGATAATGTCATTCTGCTTTATTACACTGTTTATGAATTAGTTATTTCATATTCTAAGTAGTTTAAGAAATTTTATTGATATGTAACCTTAGTAACAATAAAAGAAAATTACTTTTCATTATAAATAATAATGCCTTTCTTTTTTATCCTTTGTATAGGTATGCATTTGTAGTAGGACTGTACTACTTTATATATATTTTTGTCCTATTTTACAGGTGAGAAATCAGGCTCAGGGAGGTTGAGTTAGCTCTGTGTAAGGTCACATGTCTGTTTAGGCACAGAAGGAAGAATCCTACTTTCTGTACTACATGGTTACTGTCAAATTTAGGCCAGGTGTTACATAATAACTCTAGCTAATTCATTTACAAGTATTTAGTTTTTGTTTGTGGCACACATGTGTGAGGTTATTTCCAAGTAATATATATTTCATTTGCAGATCTCAGTAATGTTGGCAGGATGGTCAAAAATATTAAAGGTCTACTGAGTTAATTTTACTGTTAAGAGGAATGCCAGATCCAGCTAGTCTTTAAGAAAGTAGGTATTAGAGTAAATCTTAAATTTAAAACAAATACAGTTTTTGTGCAGGCATCGAACAATTATCAGTTCTGTTAGCATTCTAATTTTATTGTTAGGGAACTTTTGCCCTTTCTGTTTTAGATGAAAGGTGTAATAATCTTTTTTTAAAGGAGAGAGACACTATTACTTATTTATTTTTTTAGATTTTATTTATGCACATAGAACTGGGGTGCAGGCCAGAGGTACAGGGGGTGAGAGGACTCACCAGAGAGAGTGGGAGCAGAACAGGCAAATTGATGTAGTACACTGCTGAGGGGACCAGTAGGTGAGACAGGAGAGATCTGCTGTGCCATGTGGATCACCTCTGGGGCCTGGGATTGAACTTGCCCTGAAGCTGCCTTGGCCAGCTTCACAGTGCAGCATTTCAATCCACAGTGCCACCAAAGAGGACCTGAAAAGACATAATAATCTACTTTTAGAAGCAGAGTGACTTCTATGTATTTGAAAAATAATTGAATATTTGTCATGTGTTTACTATGTTTTAGATTCTACAGATACAGATTCAAGAAACTGGTTCTTACAAAGTTCATAACATAATTGAGAGCTGATAACATTTAATATGAAATGTACCCAAATATGTAACAATGTCCAATGAAGAGTTATATTAGTATTTTGCATAAAATAGTACTAGTATTTCAAGGAGGGGCATATGGTTTAGACTTGGAAAAGAAGTTTCAAAGAAGGTTTGCTAGAAATAACACTTGATTAAGGTTTTATGTGTGAGCAAGAGTTAGCAAGATATAGAAATGATTACTACTCTATAACAGAGGGAGCATTTTGGTCAGATTTTCCTTTTAGAAGTATCTTTCTTACTTTTTTAACACTTTTTTTTTAAAGATTTATTTATACATAGAACTGGGGTACAGTCCAGAGGTGGTGAGAGGATTCACCAGAGTGGGGAGCAGAATAGGCAGATTGACAAAGTACACTGCTGAGGGGAGCAGCGGGTGAGACAGGAGCAGTCTGACAAGCCATGTGGATCACCTGAGTGGTAGGGAGCAGGTGGGTTTGCAGTGCTGCTCTTTAACCTGCTGTGCCACCAGTGAGGGCCATCAGAAGTATCTTTCTAAAGGTAGATGGAAAACAGAGAAGCAAGATAGAGGATCAAAGATGGTTTTAATACTAAGTGAAGAGACTTGTTAGCATACTTTGATGGTAGTATAGATGCACTATTAATGGATACTAAAATGCAACATTTAAAATAAGGCTAGAGAAATGAATGGGTTTCAGGGAAAAAAAGTGAATATAAATTGATTGTGTTTAGTGATAAATGTGACATATATAATGTAAAAATCTGAATGGATGATGCAAAGATTTTGGTTTTGAGGTCTGAATGGATGGTAATGCTCATCACCCAGTTGAGGAAGAGTGAGGGAGGTTGTCATAATAGAAGCCTTGAAAATCATTTTGACATCACTGGACAAAAGCTTTTTAACTCCTATTTTGTACAGAAAAATAAAGGGAAAAAGAAGATGATTTATCAAAATATTACACAATAAGAGTGGCATCTTAGGTAGATGTTCATATTTACCAGTAAGGCAGAAATTGTACAATTGTACATTATTAAAATTAGCACTGAAGAATTCTTTTGAAGTCATCCAAAGCACAGATGTCTATGACAACAATACAACCAGTCCCCAAACTCAGGTATTCTGGCCTAATAACTTTTTGGTGTGAATTCCAAAACACTGCCAAAAAGTACATGATTATATTTATATTATCTTTTGTTCTTAGCTTCAATGTGAGTGTTCCTAATGCTTCTCTATTAAGAATCTTACTATGGCTACAGTTTAAAAGAATGAACAAAATGGGTGGAAACATACAAAAATCATTTAAAAAGTACATAATCTATTAAAAATTAATATGGTTTCTTTGCTCAAGTAATAAAAATGTAGGAGAGGCCCTCCCTGGTGGCGCAGCGGGTTACAGCACTGCACTGAGAAGCTAAAACCACCTCCGCATGAGTTCGATTCCCGCCTGCCCCAGAGGTGACCACATGGCGTGGCAGACCTCTCCTGACCCGTCCGCTGCTCCCCTCAGCAGTGTACTTTGTCGATCTGCCTGTTCTTCTCCCACTCTGTCTCTGGTGAAGCCTCTCACTGCCCCTAAGCCTCTGGCCTGTACTCCAGTTCTGAATGTACAAATAAAATAAATCTTTAAAAAAAAAAATGTAGGAGAAAGAGTATAATCAGAATAGCCTTACCTATTTAAAAAAGTGAATTCATAGCTAAAAAAAAGTTTTGGAAAAAAACTTAAGGCCAGATGATTTCATTGGAAAATTCTATAAATATTTAAATAAGTATTACCAGTTCTACACAGTCTTTAAAAAAAAAAAAATTTAATGGAGGGAAAGTTTTCCTTTCTTCCTTCCAGGTTTATTTGGCTGGCCTAATATTTACACTGACATAACACAGGTAATAGGAACAACAACAAAAATTACATATAAAATCTCCACAAGGACATGGGACTCATAGGCAGTCAAGCTTATAGATTTACATACCACCCTGAGCTAATGGGCAGGAGCTTGGAGCTTCAAGGAGGAGAAAGACACCTTACAGGGAGATGAGAACAAATGTTTGGTAAAGAATGTTTGCCATGCCATGCGGATAAGACTTTGATATAAAGTTATCTTTGGTAATCGTACACTTTCTGATAAAGGCTCCCACCCCTGTCTTTTAGGCAAGATGACAGAGGTAAAACTCAGACATCCTGTCTTTCTTACTTCAGCTCAAAACAATCCATGTGCCAAAGTGGCACATTTTGGTATAGTATATTCCACAACCCCTTCAATCAGGTTAGTAGAAGAATAAAACAAAAATTACAGACCATGTCAACCTCTTATATTGCAACCTATAGTGGAATAGTAAATGTAGGGGAAAATAGGCTTTAAAGGAAAGTCTTAGCAAGCAAGGCTTCATTACACTAAAAAATCCATACAGCAGGAAGATGTAATCCTGGTAACATGTGCCTAATACTGTCAAAAGGAACTATGAGGAGCAAACTGCAGAGCCAGTAAGTGAATTGACTTCACCCCCTCTCCACATGGAGATGTCAGGTGTCAAGGGTTACAACTCCCAGCATGCCGTGAATTGACTTCTGCAACAGGGGCTACTGAGAAGTAGGGGCAGAGTAAAGTGGCCATACTTGGCATAGTTGTGCTCTCACGCTCCTTTTTCCAGATTCAACTTGCACTCTGGTATCCCAGCTAAGGTGTTGTTAGCCAGCTAATCTCCTCTCTTTCTCTTCTCAATCCCTTGTAATATGCGCTGTTTTATTTGTCTTCCTCTGAGTGTCTGCTTTTGGGTCTTGGCTGGAGTTCTTAAGTGAGCAGGTAAGGACTCACAACCCAGATCACCCCAAAGTTTCCCCTGGGACCATAACACCTATGGCTGACCAGTCCAAAGGGCCCTTCTGTGCACTGGTCACTGCAGAAGCATTATGATATCAGGATACATGTGGGAGTTTTCTGTCTAGTTTAGAGGCGCTTGGTTTCACATCAGTAAAGTCTAGACATGGATTTTGATCTAGACATGGATTCAACCATTAGTTTAAGCAATTTTTCAAATGTTGATAAGTCTGCTGTATGGAAGATGATTTGGGTTATAATGGTTATCACTCTAAAAAAATTTTCACTTGGTTTTTCCTACCTCTTTCCATCGAGCTGAAGCTCCTATTATGTGCGGTATTAGTTTTCCCCTGGGAGTGCTGGGGGGTTAGCTTTCTTTTACATCAGTTTTGTTGTGTATGTCAGCAGTCTTCACTCTGCAGTCACTATCTGAGCAAAAGGATCAGATAGGCTTTCCTTAATATGTCCAAAGTAGGCCTATTGTCACCTTAGTTTGGACAGAAGTCAATCAAGGCCTGTGTGCCTGGAGGCATCTATACCATTACTTAAAAACTGCGGATTTGGGGTCCAAAGTAGTCCTGTAGGCTGGGAGAAGCTTCCATTGTTACATAAGTCTTGTGCCTCTTCCTAGTTGAAGAAGAGAGCATCAAGTGCTCAGTGTTTCCTAATAAAAAACAACCACTGTCTCTCCTTTTATCACCTGGGAGTATGTAATGAAGGGTTCCTCATCCAGTGCTAGGCTTACCAGTGAACTGTCCTCTCTGTCATTTTTACTCTCAGAATAAGGATACTCTCCTTGTGGGTCATGTGAAATCTCCACTTCTGAACCCTTGACGCCTCAGGTCCCAAAACACAGGATAAATATACCTGGTGCGTTTCAGTAATTTTTAGAATTTATAACCATGTAAAGTCTAGCATGTATTTATATTGATTGCTCTTCCTTTGCTAACCACCTGATGCTATTTTGATTACTCACTTGGCCCAAGAAGAATCCAAGACTGCTATGGGATAATTCCTTAGTGCCTGACACTTTCTTAATACACTTTTTATTATTCATGTCGCTGGATTTTTGCAGTGGGATCCTCAGGTTATATTTCTGTTGTACTAATTTGGTCTTAAATATGTTCAGCCACTATTCAGATATTCCATTTAACTTAGGTGTGTTTGTTTAGTGATTTCAGTAATTATATTCTTTCCTGAAGACTTTGTCACATACAGGAAGCACAGCATCATCTCCTGTTGACCACTATGGAATCTTACCTAATTTTATCATAACTACTTATTTGTTTTTTGTATATGGAAGGCATCCAGTCCCTTTTTGCTTTCAGTAGCAACATTAAGTTTATTAGCATTTCAGTATCATGTCTTTGTAATGTAACTTAGGGTGGTGGTTAATAGCATGGATCCTGGAAGCAGAGTAGTAAGGTTCAAAGCCAAGTTTTGGCTTTTTGACAAGTTATTTAAACTCCCTGTGTCCCATTCAGGTTTTTGTGAGGATTAAAAAATATACATAAAATCCCTGGTATATAGCAAAAGCTTAGTAAATGTCAGTTGCCACTTTGGTAGTGCTGGTATGCTTTAGTTAACATTTTGTGATTGGATGAATGGTAGCGATTTTGTCAAGTGTTTGTAACCCTCCATACTGTCCCAGTCACCTCTTATGTTACTCTTTGATTTGAGGATTGAATCTAACATATATAATGTGTGGCTCCTCTTTCTTTTCTATAGATTGATCCTGAATTGGAAAAAAAATTGAAAATGAATAAAGTATCATTGGAAACAGAGTATGAGGTATAGTCTCATAATTTAGTCTTTTATTACTATTTTCTTAACGACTGTTTCTGTCCTCCTTAAGGTAAACTTATTTCCAGTGCAGAAAAAGATTATTTACTTTAAATTATTTACCTAGTTAAAAAAAATTATTTAGCTAGTATTGCATAATTGTATAGTCATTTGAAAAGAAAATAGCAAGTGGATCTGTATTTTTATATACTAAAATAAATAAACTCCAGGTGAATCAAGAATTTAAAAAGAGATAACAGAATGCTGAAAGTGCTAGGAAATGAAAAATGAAGATTCTTTTATGTGGTCTTGAGTCAGAAACATTTATTTAAATTTGATACAAAAGCCCAGAATCCTTAAGAGTAAAAAGTGTTGTGCTCACACATAAAGTTCAAAAGTTGAACATTTAAAAAATCTGTATATAAAGCCACTAGTTAAATGAGAAATCCTGAAAATACTGCTTACCTTATGATGAGTTAACTGTTAAGTGTGAAGGGCATCTACAAACCAGTATGGAAAAGTTCAGCACCTCAGTTGGTCAGTGGTAACACAAGCAAAGTATGTAAAGAGTTCAGAGAAAAAGAAATAAATCTTAAACATATGAAGAGATATGGAGAATGTTAATTAATATTACAAGGAGATGTCATTTTCTACCCAGCTGATTAGCAAAAAACCAAAAATTTTTATTTGTATGCTAAGAGATGTATTATATGTCTTATTATATAACCACATATATGTAACACACCCTTCATATATGATGTGTTATGGGAGGTGGTGAGGAAGGAGGCTTTCCATCTCTTCAGCTTGTTCATTTGGGGTGTGGATTTTTTTTTTTTTTAATTGAAGTAGACATTGTGAGTGATACATTGAAGAAACTTATGAAAGTGTCGATTCTCATTTTTAGCAACAGTTCAATTATCGAGTGAACATTGTGGGTCTGGTTTTGTGCTTTGTAAGGGAGGATGTGTGAGAAGACAATGCGTTGGAGTTCATTTCCCATTTGTCTCCCAAGACACAGAGTGTGGCTTTGAATTTTGTAAGGGCGAATCTGAAATAGTAGGTCTTAATGTTGACATATTCCTACTCCCAAAGAACAGCCTTTTTGGACTCTCAGCTGATGCCAAGGTAATAGCTAGATATTAAAAATTCTCCATTCTTGCAGTCCTGGAAATTCATTTATGACACTGTTTTTCCTCAGCACTTTTTTTTTCCAGGAAAGAATTTTACTTGGTATTTAGGTCAATGTACAGGTTAGAAATACAAATGCTGAACATGTAATAACATTCATGTTTGAAATTCATATTCCATTGTTTATAATAAAGGAATCTCCATGTTGAGTTTGACTTCAGAACAGGCTTCACAAATTCAGGGCATTGAATTAGAATCATATAACTTACTTTCTAGCTTCTCTACTCCTGGAAGGCTGCTTGCCTGTGATCACACAATATTTAATTTTATCTTTAACTTAGCAGACACCTCCTAAAAGACGGTGGGCTTACCTTTGTTCCTCTTGTTTGCCAGGCTAACTTGTGCTAGTCATTGTAGACTTTGGTTGTGTTCCCATCTTTTTCCTTTTCTTTGTGCTCTTAAAAATAAAGTATGTAAACTCTATTTCAATAGTTTTGTTCTTATGGTAGAAAAGACAGACATTAACATCAATATCAAGCAAGAAAAATTCCAAATCCTAAGACACACGATATTTCTTCACTTACTGTGCTTGATACATAGCTGATGTATCTGCAAAAATTAAAATTGAAGGCCTGTTGCATTCTTTCCACTCCCTTACTTTTTCATACATTCAGTGATGTCCTGCTCAAAGCCACAGGGCTCTTATACTAATAAACACACACACACACTTTAATTTTTGTGGCTCTATAGAAAATAAAGGACTCTGCTTTTGATGACTGGAAGAACATTCGAGGACCTAGGCCCTGGGAAGATCCTGACCTCCTCCAAGGACGAAATCCAGAAATCCTTAAGACAAAGACATCTTGACTGTGAGGATTCTTTGTGTCTCTTTGAACTTTAAATAAAAACGTTAACTGGAATTTCTACTTCATATACCTATGGACGAAAATTTCCAGACCTGCAGAAGCCTGGGTGTGAGATTCGATGACAGATAAGCTTGATAGAAAGTTAAAGTACAGGCCTTTAACACTGCCCAGCAGATGGAAGTAACAATGTTGACTACATGTATTTTATATCACTCAATAAAATTTGACTCCTGCTAAAAGAGTGTCATTTCTTCCATTCCTAACTACCCATCCCTGTTCCTTTTCCACAAGCTACTTAGGCATTATTTTTACTACTTCACCCTGATTCCCAAGAGAAATAGTAGGTCTAGATCCAAGCCCTCATAAATATCATCAAACAGTGATTTTATGTCAAATCAATCTAGGAAAATAATACTGCTCACAGTCTGATAAGAATCTTGGTTTTACTTATAATCTTCACAGTATTTTAATCTCCAAAGCATCACCTGACAATTGTTTTAATACCATTAAACAGGTGACACAGTTTAGGAACCAGCTTTAAGTTATACTTTATGCCTTGGTGTAATTTGGAAGCAAAACGACTGCTCCCAGGGGTTTTTGTTCCTTGGTTTTTCATTTGGCCTTTGTGGCGATATAAATGCTAGGCAGATGGATAAAACTGATGAAAATTCATTTTCTCCTTTCACACCTGTCTTGGTCAGCCTTGTTCCTCCCACCTTCTGGTATTTTCTTGAGTTTCCTGTACTCAAAATCTTAATTGACATCTCCCCTCATATCTGCCAAAATATAATTAACCCCCAGCATTTCCCTAGTCAGATCTATTAAGTTAAGTTGTGATAAAGATGGTTCATAAGATTTAGTTATCAGAAAGAACATTGTATTTCAAAGAAGGGGTCAAACAAGAAACTACCTGATCCTCATTCCTAATACAGACACACAAAAATGGACCAGATTTAAATGTCAAACATAATGCTATAAAATTTTTAAACAAAAACAGCCAAAAAATCTTAGTGACCCAGTGCATACTTTCTGTTTTTGTTTTTAAAAATTTATTGATTTATGCTTATAGAACTGGGGTACAAGCCAGAGGTGTGGTGGGTGAGAGGATTCACCAGAGACAGAGTGGGGAGCAGAACAGGCAAATTGACAAGGGTGGGTCAGGAGAGGTCTGCCACACCACGTGGGTCAGCTCCCTGGCTGGGGATGGAACTCGTGTTGCAGTGGCTTCCGAGAGCTTCATAATGTGGTGCTTTAACTTGTTGCGCTACCAGGGAGAGCACTCCAGTGCATAGTTTTTGATGACTAGTTCTTACCCAAAAATTCATGAAGAATCTTGACTCATTGAAAATTTTGGAAGTTTTACTTATTGCAGCCCAGTAGGTTTTCACAGTGAGTGCTGGAGAAAAATCATGTGTTTCCAGCAGAAGGAGGGGAAAGTAATCATTTTTGAAATATTCCCCTAAATTTCTGCCCTCAAAGGAAACTTTTCACTAACGTCTAATCACGCCTGGTTTTACAGGAGCCTGGCATGAGGGAAAAATCTTAACTTCAACCCACTCTAGCCTTTCTGTCTCACCCAAATGAAGGTGGGTGTGAGTGGGAGGGAAGACTGAGAAGCAGATGTGTACATCACATCCCAGTGGCCTATAGTCATCAAAAGACTGAGACCTAATTTTTGAGCTTTATTTCTGCATAGAAGAACTGGGGTACAAGCCAGAGGTATGTGGGGCTTGGGGGAAGATGAGAGGGTTCACCAAAGACAGGGTAGGGAGCAGAACAGGAGGATCTACTGAAACACACTGCTGATGGGAGCAACAGGCGAGACAGGAGAGGTCTGCCATGCCATGGGGGTCACCTCCCTGGCTGGGGGTAGAACTCAGGTGGTGGTGATAGCGCTGAGACTTTACATCCTATGCCTAGTCTTGACACTATAAATGATCACCTCCCCTATCACATTAACTACCACATCACTGAGGACTTAACTACTGGAATGTACTTTTTTTTTTTTTTTTTAAAGATTTATTCATGCATATAGAACTGAGGCATAGGGGCAGTGAGAGGATTCACCAGAGACAGAGTAGGGAGCAGAACAGGCCAACTGATGAAGTACACTGCTGAGGGGAGCAGCGGCCTGGCCAGGAGAGGCTGCTGCACCACGCGGATCACCTCCAAGTGGGGATCGAACTCATGCTAAAGTGGCTTTTGCTTCTTAGTGCTGTGCTTCAACCCTCTGCGCCCCCAGGGAGGGCCCCTGGAATGTCTTTTAACCAGTCCAGTTTAGTATCATGCCCAACTTCTATTAATTAACAACAAAAACTATACGGTATACTTAAAGACAAAGCATGGCTTTGAAAGACAAAGCATCGGATCAGATTCATGTATGACTGGGATGTTGAAATTATCACATTGAGAACTTAAAATTGCTGATTAATATATACTAAGAGCTCTAACGGGAGAAATATATGACATGCAAGAATAGACAGGAAATATGAACAGAAATGGTAGTTCTGAGTCTAAAGAAAATTCTAGAAATTAAAACCAGAAATCACTGTCTTTGAGGAGGTAATCATTAGCATGGAGATGACAAAAGAAAAGAAGACTGAGGGAGAAAAGGAGGAAGAGGTACATCAAAAGAAAGCTGGTGTGGTGATTTCATTTCAAGTAAAGCAGACTTCAGAGCAAGGAAAATTACAAAGGATGAAAGAAGAATTATACAGTGATGGCTCAATTATTTAAAAGTATGTGTCAGTACAGTTTATCAAGATGTGTTGGGTGCAGTGAAAATGGCGCTTCAAGGGAAATTTATAGTATTGGATGTATATATTAGAAAAAATGAAAATTATTAATCTACTTTTGGAAAGTAGAAAAGGAAGAACAAATGCAAAATAAGATCATACAAATTACAGGAAAACTCTAGAGAGAAATTCAAAACCAAAAGTGGTTCCTTAAAAAGTTTAATAAAAGTAAATCTAGTCAGACTAAGAAAAAGATACACGTTAATACCAAGAATGAGAGGGCTCCATCACTAGTGACCCTCTAGACATTAGGAAGATAACGAACCAATATTATAACAACTCTTTGCCCACAGATTTGATAACCTAGATGAGTCAGTTCCTTCAGAGACATAATCTGCCAAACTCGCACAACAGATAATGACATATAACCTGAATAAGCCCACATTTATTAAATTGAATCAATGATTAATAAACTTCCAAAACAAAACTGCCAGCACCAAAGGGCTCACTTGTAAATTTTACCAAATATTTAAGAAAGGACTTTCAACAATTCTTTACAAACTTCCAGACAACAGGAGTGTAGGAAATACTTCTTGACTC